GAGAGAGAGAGAGAGAGAGAGAGAGAGAGAGAGAGAGAGAGAGAGAGAGAGAGAGAGAGTATTTCTTAAACACCCCCCCCCCTGTATGTATATGTGTTTATGTATAAAGGAAGAAAGAAACACACCAACCATTAAAGAATCCTTCTTTTGCCTTGCAAATTCCCAGCCACCATATTAAGCCCCTGGGTGCACTTCAACAACCTTTGGGGAGGGGCTATTATTTGTTTTCTTCTTTCCTCAATCATACACCTCAAACAAAACATTATAGAATGTTTCCGATCGGTTTTTAAGCTTTAAAAGCTTCTCCTTGCTGTGGTTTGTTTTTTATATTTAAAGAAACAACGTCGGATAATCCAAACGTCGGATACCCCTATACTTAAATGCCTACTGTGCGCTCACACACACCCAACACCTATCGCCACCCTTAAGTTTTACTTTTAGAAAAGACCTGGGACCATCATCCAGCGGCTCCATAGTTCCGGCGCGCGTTAAGAGGATCTGACCGCGCCAGTTCCTACAAAGCAGAAGCCAAGAAGGAGAACCGTCTAACAGGAAGCAGGGAGGGCTGCTTTGTATTTGAAGGCAATCCTTCCCCTATTCCCCGCCGCTGCTGTTTCTGAAATAACCCCCCCTCTTACCCATTCCATGCCTCAACTTATCTTCTGGGTCAGCAAAAGAAGACCCCGGGACGGGCTTAGCTCGGCTGCGAACGAAACTCCCTCCGCAGAAGAGCGGAGCCCGCGTCCCCAGCGAGGACCCACGCCCCAACGCTTACCTGCTTTAAGGTAGGGCAGACAACTCGACGGGAACTGAGGAGCCGGCGGGGTTGGCAGTGCGGCCGGCCGGCCTCCCGGGACCCTTCCTCCCACTGGCCGGAGCCCAAAGTTGAGCTGGCGGGAGAGGGGGGGGCGTGTCGTGGCGAGGCTGGGAACGATGCGGGCGGGAGGCGAGACTGAGCAAGGTCTGCTTCTTCTTTCTCTCCCCCCCGCCCTTCCTCGAGTGACGCTCCTGGGCTTTCTGTTCTGGGAAGCTACCAGCTTGACACTAGCATGACATCAGGCTCCATTCAAGGGTGCTTATCAGGCCCTCGGCCAGCCTCTCTGGGCAACCAGATTGCAGGCGAATAAATCACCGCCGTTGCCCCGCTCTCGGCCGCCGGAGAACTCTTCGGGTGTCGAGTAACCGAGCTCTCGCCTTACGTACCAGGAGCCCGTCCCGCCTCCCCCCTGCCCAGGTTCTGTATGGCGCTGCAATTCCAGACCTGGTTTTGTAGCTGGCGCGTCGGGCTGGTTTCATCCACGCCTCTTCTTTCTTCTGCGTTCTTCTGGCTGTGTCCGAGACAACAAACCCCATCCCAGGAGTTGAAAGATTCGAGAGTCTGGTTGGTTTGACTCCAGAGGGACGCCGCTGACTAGTGGGTTTTTTTTTTTTCCTTCCCTCTTCAGTCTAGTTTCATCAAACGCCCAGGTGGAGAAATTCCTGGAGAACTTTGCATAGCCTCAGAGGAGGCTTGGTGTTATTCAATCTTTGGTGTTG